ACCACAGGCATATAAACCGCTGAATTCTATTCCACTTTTGCCTCAGCAAAGCATAATTCCACAATCTTTTAGGTTCAAAGCTTCATCCTCAGATCTAGCCGTTGATGCCACTACTACAGCCCTTTGCTAAGGTGTTTAAACTGACTATCAAAAAATATGAACACTCAATTTCTACAATGATGTTGATTATGATGACAGAGGCAGCAGGTAACATTTATTGAGTACTTAACTATTTGCAAGATACTGTCTTAATTGCTTCACACATAAATTATCTCATTAACTCTTTTAAGGAATGTAACTTTTACATGGACCATTCAAGTAAGCAATGGAGCCAGAATTTGAATCCAGGTCTGACTCCATAGTTTGAACTCTGAATACTACAGTTCTTCTATATCATATCCCCTGCTTGCAATGGGGGACACTTATTCATAGCTTCCCTTCCTACCGATCTGATGACCTAGAAAATCTCACAAATTAAAAATATCATTTTGGGTATGTGCAAACAGTATGTTAAAACAGGTGATCAAGACTGTAAGAGCTTTAAGTGCCTACTACTGCCAAGAAAAGAAAAACTGCAACAGAAAGGACTAATATTTTAAATACTTACTGTAATAAACCAATAGGAATTGACTCTATAAACCAATCTGGATAAGAAGCCAAGCTCACTGACTGGTGCCAGAACATGAAGGTGCAAGTGGGAGATGGAACAGAATGGTGGCATGTGGAAACCCATCCTAAAACAGAAAGGTAAGAGATGATTGAAAAATCAATTCTACAATAGTTTAAAGCCATTTTTCAGATGAAAATACAGAAATATTAAAGATATCAAAAACAGGTATCTAAGGCAGATTATTAATCACAAATCTCTTTTACAGTTTTTTTTATGTATTTCAGAATATTCACACACTTTTTTTTATGTTGAAGTTCACAGTAAAATAAACTTATCATCAAGGAAGGCCTTAATAATATATTATGCCTCAGTATAATCCTTATGAATTCTGAGTTGGCATAATGTCTTATCACTTCAGTCCTTATCATATTAAGCTTTTTTTTTCTTTTTTTTTGAGACAGAGTCTCACTGTGTTGCCCGGACTAGAGTGCCGTGGCGTCATATTAAGCTTTAATTCTCCTAAAATACGCTCCTGCAATGAACTTAAAAAATCACTGGACACTCAAGTAGTAGTGTTCCTTTATTCTACCGACATAGCCAATAGATGGCATGCTTTTTCCTTTAAGAAAGTGCTCAGGTGCCCGGGCGCGGTGGCTCACGCCTGTAATCCTAGCTCTCTGGGAGGCCGAGGCGGGC